GGCCACCAGTGGGTCCAGGCGGCAAGTCTCGCTGAGTTGAGTTCCCGTACAAGCGACAAAGCGCGCTTTGGTCCCGCAGAGACGTGAGCAGAGCTAATTAATTACGAGGCTATTTGCGAGGGATCACAGCTCTCAGCGGACCGGAGTGCCGTCATCGCTTCTCCAGGGGATAGGAACACTTTCACACGGCGGTTGGAGGGCGGTCGTCGCAGCGTGGGGTAGAGTGCAAGCAAAAGTTGCGACATTAGTCGGTAGTTTGTTTGATTAGTTATCCTTAGGGGTCTAATGGGCTCATTTTGTGTCATTCATCGATGGTGGTGTCTGGGGTTTATTTCCTTTTTTATCTCAACTTTCCAAGGGGTTGTTCCAAAATGCTCAACTTCCTGTTCAAGTCCGGGCATGGATCCTTGAAACTTTTTCATGCGTCCTGTTATGATAGACACCCAATTTCATGGCGATCGGTCAATTGTGTTAAGGGGCTGGAATTCACTGAGGGAATTGACAAAAAGAAGTCTGACTTTTGAGGTACACAAAAAATGTGGTCAAAATTGTTTTCATATCAATTCAGCAAGAAAATACAGTTGAATTCAAGAAATAAAAGCTCTTCAATATATTTTAAAAAAAAACAACAACAATTGTTCATTTGTTATTTTGACATTTTTTTCTTTAATAAAAATCCTAGCTTCACATCCCTGGGATGAACCCGCCAAGAAAAGGATGCTCCACAAAATTTGAAAGTTCCTTCTCAAATGAAGTGCTTGATTCACAAAACTGCTTTGCAAAAAAATGATGATTACTTTTTTTTTTTTTTTTTTTAAATGCTGATCCGTCAAATCTCCACGGGGCACACATTATTGATTTCGCCCCAAAATTCTTTCTGGTAAATGTTGGGCATGGCCCCTTGCGACTTTTTTTGTGCATTCTGTTGTGATCAGCATGTCTGCCCAATTTCACTTAGATCAGTCATACTGGCGGTGGTGGGCAGTTTCTTTTTCTGTCCGCCTGCCTGTCTACTGAAAATAGTGACAAGTAGAACAATGAAATGCTCATCAACTATTTGCAGATGAGAAAAGGTGCGGTTGCAGTTGCCATTCATACAACAGAAGAAGAGCTTTTGTGGCCAGTTAAACAGGCTGAGATTTTTGAGTCTATTAAGGCAAGACCATCTTTATTTCGGGGTACGTAAAATACATTTTGTGACGTTTTGGTGTGGCGATGTGTCGTGAGATTTCTCTGATTTTTGTTGGGAAACACTAATATCGGCTGTACTTTTTTTTTTTTTTTTTGCTCATAAACATCTCTATTCATATTTAGGTGTCCGGATAGATGCCTGTCTTCTTCTAATAAATTGTCTTGATGTGACGGGGTCCTGGCCCCCACTCCCACCTTGGGTTAATTGACAGCTAACCTTTTGTTGTAAGGTCCTGTCCACTGTCATGTGGGAAGAAATTTTGCAGCAGGTGACCTGGCATGTCCATTAATAGCGACGCGCTGCGGCTGTCAGCTTCCGTGTGTGACTTCCTTGTATTGAAAAAGTCCTCCATGGTGTCTTTGTGTACTTTGAGACGCCCGCTCATATCTTTGCTGCAAGACTCTCTGGTTTTGGCGTGGGGGGACTCGAGCCGACTCCGATGGGATGCGATGACGCGAGCGCATCAGAGGCGCTGACGTCTTGTGGTTTTATTGTTGGGATGGTTCTGATGAGTCAGGGTCTGCTGAGAGGTGCTTCTGGGACGTAAAGAGGGGTGACGCTCAAGATTGTAAATTTCATTTCGCCATGATAGTGAGCAGAGTTACTGCGGTGAACAGCATGAACGCGTGTTGCTACAAGTCAAAATGTTCGGCACACTTGTCGAAGCTAAATGACAGTCAAAAGCAATTATCAAGATCTGATACAAAAAAAGATAAAATATGCAAATATTAAAAAGATGTATAGATAATTCAAAAATATATTAAAAAAAGAAAATTTGATAATTATGAAAAAGAAAAAAATGCCGATGTGTGCAAAATACAGATGCTCCAAATATAAATGCTCAAAATACGCCAATATTAAAAAGATGTATAGAAAATTCAAAAATATATTTAAAAAAGAAAATTAGATAATTACGAAAAAAGAAAAAAAAATGCCGATGTCTGGAAAATACAGATGCTCCAAATATAGAAAATGTAGGGGGAAAAATACAAAAATAGTTAACCCAAAATAGAAAGGTAACAAGAAAAAAAATTAACATTTGAATCAGGTGTGTGGCAAAAGGGCGAATATTTTTCCTTGAGTTTGACACCTGTGCCCTAGCGGGAGTGTTACATCACAGCATGGGTCGAAGAGGGCCATGTGTGACCTCTAGTTCCCTGCGGACGATTACGTGATGTCCTAGGTGACCCCTTTAGTATGTTCTGGATGTCACACGTGTACGCATGAGTGTGAGGGAGCCGCATACCAAATCACAAAAACTGACCTTGTTTTCTGACATTTTGTACGTGTCACTTTGTGTGAGATCGTGTCAAACAAGCAGGCAGGCAAATTGGCCGCTCCACTTTTTCACGGTGGGAAAGTGGGCCGATATGCTCTTTGGAAGTTTCCCAGTCAAATGTCCTGGGGACCGAGACAAGGAGAAGGTCTATCTATCTATACAAGTGTCCTAGATAGACTAGAAGGGCAGAGCGAAGCATGCTGGCATTTGTGTGACTAAAAAGAGGATGACTGTCACTTTTGTCTTTGCGTTTTGATGACATCACTGAGCCAGCGGATTGGTTGACTGATTGATGACAGTTTAGCAAGAGACTGCACAAGGAGCAGCAACGATATAAAAATAACTTCATAAACAAAAAGCATACTTACCTGACTGTATTTGTACACAAGTATAATTGTAAGTGAATTGTAATTTTTTTTAGCGAAGACAAACACTGGCTAGATTGACACAAATATTTTAGCTCCTGCTACTAGCCACTAATCAACTAGTCAATACTGACTCAGCGACTGAGTTTCTGAACCGCCCAATCAGAACAGAGTCACCACACCTGACAACCCAGCTACTACCAATCCCATCTTCCAGTTTAGTTTAGCTTCCACCTAGCCTAGCTTCTACCAAGCTGAAATCCTTCATTTGATCTGAAACCCTCTTCTTCTACTAATCTCTTACATATTCATGAAATCTGGCTGTCTTTGGCATAGGGGCTACCTTTTTATGTGTTTAAAAATTAGCGTAGCTTATGATGGTCCCTTCCTGGCACTCTCACTGAAGGTTTAGCGGGGTTAATATGCTTTTTAAAATGCCGTTGAGATGACTCAACGATTCGACCCCACAGTGGAAACGAGTCTCCAAGGAGGGTTGGTAGAGGGGGAAAAAAAAAATGGATGATGGACAGATTATCAAACGGAGATTAGCATGGCTACTTTGATCTTTTGATTGTTTTGTTTGTTCCTGTTGGGAAATGGCTGGGGATTTAGAGCTACCAATGCCAACCTGGTTGTCAGTTGGACAATTTTGTTTTTGCTGTGCTGTAGTTTTACTGACCGTTCGTTCTACGTCAGCCAATCAATGCGATGCGGTGCGTTCGGAAAGTATTTACAGCGCTTCACGTTTTCCACATTAGGTTACGTTACAGCCTTATTCTAAATTGATGGGATGTGACTAAAGCTCTGTTCAGCCCCTTAACAACCGGTGTCAGTTAGTCCCACACTACTGGCAGTAAATCAGATTCATTTTTATCTTTATTCTGTTAGCCGCCCTTTTTAACTCGACCAATGTGGGCAGGCAATGTTTTCTTATTCGCTCTTTCACATACTTCCTTGTAACTTTGTTCTTCCCGTTCAGCATCACCCCACGAATGATGGCGTTGCCTTTGGGGCCTGGTTCTCTGTCGCCATGACGATGCCCTTCAGCCCGCTGTCCAGCGACGAGGAGCACCAGAGGATGCTGGGAAACAGCAGACACCCATACCCAGGGGCAGAAGAAGAGGAGGAAGAGGAAGAAGAAGAAGAGGAGGAGGAGGAAGTGGAGGAAGATGAGCGCGATGAGGACGGTGAGGAGGAGAACGGCGAGCTGGAGGACGAAGATGTGGTGGAGGTCCGGCGAGGGGGCGGCAGGGGCGAGGGGCCGAGGCAGTTGGGGAAAAGCGCCGGACGAGCTGGAAACCTGGGTCACGCGTCCAATCCTTACTCAGCCAATCCCCCGCACCAGCAGCCGGCCAATCAGCAGCAGCGGAGGCAGAAGGAGCGCACGTCCGGCACTGGTCCGCCATCCCCCGAGGACGCCCACATCGCCATGATGGTGTTCCGCATCGGCATTCCGGACATCAAACAAACGGTGAGTGGACACTGAGGAGCTTGAATATAAAAAACGCCAACGCGGCCGCCACGTCGCTTTTTGGCAACCGCCAACATCCCTTTTGTGTAACTATGGCAACAACACAACCTTTTGGCCAACATTAAGCATGTTTGACAGAGAATTTTAATTCCAATAAGCGTACAACTAGTCAATGTTCATCTTAGTCGAGCTCTTCTATCTTCAACCTAATCTTTCTCCTATTGAAGCCGAGCTAGCCTAACCAAGTTCTTGCACTGGTTAATTAATAATTTCCCATATTGCTGTGTTCCAACCTAATTTAGCTTCTATAAAACCTAGCTTCCATCTAATCTAGCTACCACCTATCCTTGCTTGCAGCTAAACCTGGCTTCCGCCTAGCTCATCCTCCATTTAACTTCGCTTCCGGGTCATCAATCTTCTACCAAACCAAGTTTCTACCTCTCCAGACTGCCACCTATTAGCTCCCACCTGGCTTGTCTTCTGCCCAGTATAGCTACCACCTAGCCTAACTCTTGTATTCCCAATAGATTATTTCCACTCATTTGTAAATGTTTACAAGCCAAGCAAATGTGAAAATTTCGGCTTAATTTGCTTCCATTAATTTTCAAAGCACCCCAATTCCGGGAAACTCTAATAACAGTTGCCTACTTAGCATGCTAACTAGCTTCCATCCCTATCAGTAAACCGTGCTCGAGCTCAAGAGCCAGATGTTGAAGGAGACCTCTAAAAAAAAAAAAAAAATCACTGAAACACCATCACAGCGGTTGTCACCGAGAGGAGTTTAAAAGCCCTCCATGTGGGTAAAGCAGAGAGGAAGTAGAAAGCGACAAGAGGTCCTAAATGGTGCGATACCACCAGGAAAAGCCTTTTGAAAGAGGGTTTGTCTTCAAATGGGATGGATCGATGAACTGTTGTGTTCCATCACCGTGAATGTGGCATGTGGTAGCGTAAAGAGGGAATTGATTGTGGCAGGTGACAAGGGTCAGGCCATGCTAGTAAAAACATTTTGAGTTATTGTCTCAGCATACAAGAACCTACTGCCATAATACTTAGCGAGATTTAGAAATACTTTTCCGCTGCCTTTAATTAACGTATGACTGCTTGTGTTTTGTCGCACGTACATTTTTGACCCTGCCGCTAACAAACTCAGATCTCAGTTAGCTTCAGATCTCAGTTAGCTTCTGAATAGAAACTTAAATCCCTGCCAGAATTGAAATGGCAGTCAGCAGGTGGCTACTGACCATGTGTCCGCTAAGTGTGACGTCAGTCCGATAAAAATTGTGTGAAATTAAGGATTTTTGTGTTTAGCCTGTTTGACTTTGCTATAACCAAGAACTTTTTAAGAGTCGGGTTAATTGTTTTGATTTCTCAATCACTACTGGTTCGAATGCCTTCTCAACTAGCTACAAGCTACTCTACCCAACTCTACGTGACTCCACAACTCCGCCCATGCATGACTACCTCTCTACTTTGACTTGTTCTGCAGCATGATCCCTAAACACACGCTGCCCCCTGCTGGACAGATTTTAAATGATTTACAATGCAAACAAGCCTGATCGAGACTGTGTAAGACCCTTCTGCACACTATGGCGCAAAAAAAAAAAAAAAAAATGGAAATGACGTATAACTACGTCATGGGTAGGCAGCCATAGCAGGTTTTCAAGACGTATGTATACGTCATGGGGATTGAATGAGTTTTTGGGGGGCAGATTTGTACCTGTGAGAGTGTGAACGCAAACAGACAAAACCAATAACACCCAACGCTCAAAGTCTGTATCTTAACACAGTCTCAGTGGCAAATAGCTGCTTTTCCTCTCTCTCTCTCTCTCTCTCTCTCTCTCTCTCTCTCTCTCTCTCTCTCTCTCTCTCTCTCTCTCTCTCTCTCTCTCTCTCGCTGACGTGTGTGATGTATTATTGATCCTCGATTTCTAAATAAATTCCAAAATGAATAATTCACACAGGCGCACTTGTTTATTCGGACAAATGGGAAGGATGGATAACTGGAAGACAAAAAAAGATAGCCATTTGGGAATGGAAAGAGAGTTACAGCTGCAATAAAAGGAGGTGGCGGCGGTGGCAAAATGGAGACGGACAGAGGTGAAGTGAGGTTGGCAGACGCTAGCTGGCATGATTAGAGAAGGCGCACATGGAAAAGGATGGCGGCATAAATCCACACGGGAGTCGTAAAAGGCGTCATAAAAGTGATCGTTTCTCTTCAACTTGACCTCATTTTGAGTCAATTAAACCTTAAAAATATATTGTCAACAATGCTAATAATATCAGTCAGTCTGGAAAGGCTTCTTCCTAGCCTAATTTGTACCCAATTTAGCATCCAATCCATCCAAGCTATCTAAACTCATAGCCTATCTTTCGTCGAATCTGGCATGCACCACCTAGTGTTGCTCCTTGCTTACTAAACTTCCCCTGCCTTGATTTCATCTAATTGAACTTGGACCTAATCCAAGCTTCCACAATTTTAGGTTCCTCTAGGCCAGGGGTTCCCATTACGTCGATCGCGATCGACCGATAGCTCCTGGACTGGTCCCAAGTCAATTGCGAGGGGTGTAGAGGGAAAAAAAACAAGGGAACGGGCAAAGAATGGGAATCTGGAGGGCCGAGAGAAGCATTTTAAAACGGTACGCGTAAGCTACGATAGTTAACAGGCTGCAAAAGTGCGTCGCATGCTCCTGCGTCAGCCTGTTGCTCATCATGGCATGCGTGTGTTGAGTGCGTGTGTGTGCGCGAGTGCGCGGCAACGGATCGATCGCGGGAGGTTGGTTGATCGAAAAATAGATCATCGGTCAAAAAAGTTTGGGCACCCCTGCTCTTGGCCTAGCTTCCTCCTAGCCTAGCATCCACATAATGATTGTCTACCAATCCAAGTTTCCTCTTTGCTGCGCTACCACCTCTTAGTTGCCTTGATTTACCGAGTTTCTACCTCCCAAGATTCGTTGCAGCCTAGCGACCACATAGCTCAGCTACATACCTGTCAACCTTTCGGAGCGCCAACCCATATAAACTACCAAAAAAATCCTTATAAAGAGCAAAAAATCCTTATAACATACCAAAGCATTTTATATGTCAAAATAACGGCAGAAAAAAACCCACGAAATTTTTAATGATATTTATTGTAGATCTCCATAATACAATGGCAGGTGAATGTCTAATCATCATTCTACTTAGTGGCATTACTGTGTTCAGAGTTGTATTCCTGCGTTACTTTTTTCACCAACTCCAAATGCTGACCCATCGGCTCAAAGTTACAGCATCCATTCATATTTACTTTGCACTGCAATAATGCTGTAGACGAGCACCATTCTGGGCAAAAGCAAACGGAACTACCTGTTAGGGGGAAAAAAGAAAAAAAAAACGGAAATTTTCAGAATCCGTATGATTTGTGCGATATGGCCATATACGTAAGATTCACCACAAAATCCGTATAAAATATGGCTAAACCGTATGAGTTGACAGGTATGCAGCTACCACCGACCACCGACCAAAGCGTTACCCTAGCTTAGCTTTGACCTATCCTTGCTCCCACTTAGTTTAAACTAACCTAGCTTCCTCTTAGCCGGGCTTCATGCCTGATTCGAACCAACCTTATTTTCATTTGATTTTTTTATCACGGATTTGTCTTTTGCAAGTGAGCTTTCATTCTGCGCCGCTACACTGCTACAAACAATAAAAAGTCACTTTTCCATAATAAAGACTGTGGAACAAGACTTCATAAAAAAACAGTAAAACACCTCGGATGTATATTTCTAGTCCTCTTGAGTGAATATTTTCCCTCCCGCTCACCCTTCGGAGGTTCCTTGGGTCATGGGTCAGACTCGTTTCGCGTGTCAGCTAATTCACCCTCAATCAACTCCGGTGGCTCAGTAATTTGCATCATAATGTGACTGGGGAATCATCGCTTTGATCCAGCAAGGTCTGCAAAAGTATTGGGACACCTTCAGGGAGTGGAGAATGTCATTCTTCTTGGGAGGACTTCCTACAACACAAGTGTCAAAGTCAAGGCCCGGGGGCCAGATCTGGCCCGCCACATCATTTTATGTGGTCCGCGAAAGCAAATCAAGCATGTCAAGTTCCATGTTGCTTAAGTCTGAAACAAAATTTCAAATTGTCACTTGTAATCCACATTAATAGTCATTCTTCTTGATTTCTGATTTTAAAACCAGTTATTCATCAATTTGTTGTGCGCTGTGTATGTAATATGTGGAGGTGATTCAACATTTATGTGGGTTCCCTGAATTCATAATGGCCCTCCAAGGCAAACCGTGACTACAATGTGCCCCGCAACAAAAATGAGTTTGACCCTGTCCTACAAATGTTAGGGGAAGAGAAATAAGAATAAAAAAATGTCCATTTTGCCTCAGCAAGACTTTCTATTATTGCAGCATATCATGTACAGTTTTGCTTTGGTTCTTTGTAGCGGGCTGTCATGTAGCTAGCTACAAACCCCCCCAAAAAAACCCTCTATAAATCTTCATATACCATGCACTGCCGTCATCCCTCGCTTTAGTTCTGTATTGGCAAGCCGTCATGAAGCTACTGACTTAACGGCAAAAAAATAAGTCCTTTTTATGTGACGGTCTTCCTTTTTTAGTGAGTCACTGCAGCAAGTAGCATATCATACACCTTCTAGCTGTGGTTCTTTATTTGCTACCCGTCGTTTCGATTCAAAAATGGATCTTGATTTTTGTGACCGAGATAATTTTCCCCATCTTCTGGAGTTCAGCAAGCAGCATATAATTCACTGTCTTGCTTTAGTTCTATTTTAGCAACCAGTCCTGTTGCTGAAAATTGGAAAGCTATAACATAAAAATAAAAAAATCACTACAAAATAAACCCTGCTTGTTATGAAATATATCCATAGATTTATACAAACTTTGGGACCTTGTATTCCCTTTCCAGAGTTCAAATTGCAGCATGTCCTTTATTTTGTGTAAATTGAGATGCGACAAGCAGCATAGCGACTCTGGTTGACTACGGCTACCCTCTCTTTTTCCGGATATGTTGTCTTACCCCCCCCCTTCTGCCTGAGTTCTGGAAGTAACATATCATACGCCGTCTTGTTTCAAATGAAAAACTATTTTCGGCTCCTCGATCACACTTACAGGATCTGGTGTTAGATTCAAGTCTTGGCGTAAATATGCGGCACGAAGCCCAACACAAGCGAGTTTTGTATTCATGCAGCCTACCCCCCAAAATAAATAAATAAATAAATAAAATAATCCAGCCTTAAAGTGCAATTGCACTTTTTCGCTCTCGTCCGCCCACCACGTCTGTCCTCGCTATTCATCGTCTTCATCTGCCCATCTCCAACTTATTCTCTTGCTCCCAACGTCTCACCCTCCCTGTGCAGCCCAAGTGTTTCAGGGGACGGCAAGGCTTTAATGACCTCTGTGTGGGGAAAAAAAATACCCGAACGCACGCACGCACACACAAAAAACAAAAAAAACGGTAGTTGTCGCCATGTAAGTCAGGCTTTCGTCTTCAGAATCATTCCTTCCATGCGTCCAGTTTATGATGATCTATTTCTATTTCTATTCATTCTCCTCTTTCCACCATTTATTTTTTCAGTATCATTTCAAGGAGTGGCGCACGTGTACGAAATCATGGTCAGTAGGAGAGATGGGATATGTCGTGGCGTGACTGTAAACTAGGGGGCGCCGCGCTAAATCAAAAGCTTCTCCAACTATGAAGAAGAACACTGTTTTTTGGGGCAACCAAAATGGTGGAATCGGAGGAGTCATTTTTGAAAAGAAAGCAAGAAAAGCAGTTTTTCTTCTTTGTGAGTTCAGCGACACATAACAACAAGCAGCATGTCATGCGCTGCCTTGTTTTTGTTCTTCCAAGGCGGGCCATCATGTAGCTCCAAACAGGAAAGCTACAAAATAAATCTGTATTTCTTTGCTCTTTCTCTCATCTTTGTGAGTTCAGAGAGCAGCATATCAAGCACCGTCTTGCTTTTGTTCTCGATTGGCAGCCTGTCATGTAGCGATGAACAGAAAACCAACAAAACCAGTTCAGGATTTTTGTGTCAATCTCATCATTTCTTGCTTTTCTGAGTCCAGAAAGCAGCATAATCATGAACCGTCGCGCTCTAGTTCGTTTTTGACTGCCCACCATGTAGCTACCGACAAACACGTAATAACATAACTCGTGATTTTTGGGACAATGTCATCTATTTTCTTTCAGAGTTCAACAAGCACAAAAGCTAATAATGGTTTTTATGACAATATCTTTTTTTTTTTTTTTGTCTTTCTCGATCCAGAAAGCAGCATATCATGCACTGTCTTGCTCTATTTTGTCATTTCACTGCCCTTGATGTCGCTACGAAGCAGCAAAATCAATCCAGATTTATGGGACAATAAGCAGCATTGTCTTGTTTTAGTTCTTTATTGGCCAGCTGTCATGTGGCTAACTTGGCGATTTTTGAAACGATGTGACCCCCTCATTTACTTCAACAGTGAAAAGCAGCAAGCACATACAGATTTTGATGTCATTATCTTTTTTCTTCACCAAGGCATAGCTGCCCGCAGCATATCATATACATTATTCTTGCTTTTGTATTTTATTTACGACCTGTCTGTTTCTAAAGTCATCAACACAAAGAGCAGATCAGTGCGGGGGAATTCTTTTTCGAACGAATGTTTACATAACCTGTCTGCGATCGGGCGTCCTTGATGAGGAGGCGGAGGAGGACGACGACGAGAAACTTCGCCCGGCGTGCTTGCGATGGGCCTTAATTGGCGGAACTGGTGGAGCCATCTAATTCCTGGAGGAGCCGCCACTCGATAGGCCGGCCGAAACGTCTTCGGCGGCTTAAGAATCACCATTGTCAGCGTTTTTATTTCTCCGAGATGTCAACTGAGGAGCACAATTTATAGATGTGTTTGTGTGTTAGTTGTGTGCCTGAAACTGAGCTCAACTAATCATCACCATTTTCTCACTGAATGAATCTTTTGCCCTCTATTCTAAACCCCACTCCCCTTTAGACACACACACACACACACACACACACACACACACACACACACACACACACACACACACACACACACACACACACACACACACACAAAGTACCCCATCTCTACGGGAAGTCTCTATGGCAACAAGCAGCTTGCTCGGCTAATGAACCGGTTGCCCTGGTAACCGTGCTGGCTGTGCGAGACGGTGAATAAAACCGAGGTTGAATGAATGTAATGCATACACAAATCACAGTGTGTGTGTGTGTGCGTGTGTGTGTGTGTGTGTGTGTGGGTGTAAGAGACAGTGAACTATCTTGTGTAGAGTCAAGACATGACAGTGCAGCGTCGCCGTGACAATTGTCCTTCACGCTTTTTTGTGTTGTGACTTCTTCACTTTGCTGACGGTGCCTCTTTCAGTGTGTGCGTGTGCGTGCGTGTGCGTGCGCGTGCGCGCGCGGCACACTGAACAGCCATTCAATTTCTATGCACCTTCTTCATTGGCTCTGACCTATTTTGTGCTGCTGCTGGCTCCCCCTCCTGGATGGAAGCTGCACTGCTTGTCTTGGAAATGTGATTATTCTGACTGGTAGCAGCAATCAGGTGGACGATGCCTATTCCTTATGTAAAGGCTTATATATGTGAAATGTATTTGGGGAGTTGGTGTAAAATATTTGCATAGGTTTGCAGAAGTTAGAAAATGTTTTTTCTAATATGATAAAAATAAGAAAAGTAAAAGACCAAGGCCAGCAATTTTTTTGTTCATTTTTTTCTTTTTTCTTTTTTTTTTTTACATTGAAAAAGTAAATAAAAAATATTTTTTAAATGCCACTGTCAGAGGTTTTCGTGAAAATGATTTTAAAAAATACTTTATTTAGATATCTAAATTTGAAAATGTGTCAATTAAAAAAAATATGTAGAAAATAAGTATTAGAGAATAAAATCAAGCCAACCGAAGGCTTTTTTGGCCAAAATATTTTTCAAGGTTTGTGTCCATTTGATCAGTAAACATAAAATGTATAATTAAGAAAATGTCTACAAAAAGAAATGTCAACAAAGGATATTTTATCTTGAGTGTTGTTTTGAAATCCTGTTTTAAATGTAACCCTCCCTCTCCCCCAGAAATGTTTGCGCTTCAACCCGGACGCCACCGTGTGGAAGGCCAAGCAGCAGGTGCTGTGCTCGCTCACCGAGTCCCTTCGAGACGTTCTCAACTACGGCCTCTTCCAGCCCGCCACCGACGGCCACGACGCCAAATTCCTGGAGGAGGAGCGGCTGCTCAAGGAGTACCCGCAGTCCTTTGAGAAAGGGGTGCCCTATTTGGAGGTACGCGTACATACTCGGCACAACATATCATGCGCCGCCTTGCATGCACTCTCATCATTAGTGTGTGTTTTGACCTAAAGGACAAAAAATGTGTAAGAAGCCTTCCCTTGCTTGACTTTTAGTTCCGATACAAGACGCGAGTGTACAAGCAAACCAACCTGGATGAGAAGCAACTGGCCAAACTGCACACCAAGGTGAGCAACCTCGACAACTCGGAAAAACTGTAATGCCTCAGTGTTAGGGGGCGGCACTGGAAGCTTACCGTTGTGTGTCCCTCCACATGCAGGCCAGTCTGAAGAAATTCATGGATTACATTCAAACCAATGGTGTGGACAAGATGAGTAAATTCTTGGACAAAGGCCTCGATCCCAACTACCAGGATGCTGACACAGGGGGTAAGCACGACCCCCCGCCCCCCAAAAAAACGACACCATAGGCGTGTTTTAATGTGCTCAATGGACGTTTGGGGAATAAAAATAGATCACTGTTTGGAGCAGGGGTGTCAAACTCATTTTTGTTGAGGGCCACATTATAATTACCGTTTTCCTTGGAGGGCCGTAATGACTGTGAAAACATATAAAGAAGTCAGGAAAAACGCTTCACTGAACAATTGTTAAGTTAGTGTAATGAGGGGTTTGGTCACAAGAAAATGCTGACAATACAGTCATACCTCGGTTTCCGACCATAATCCGTTCCAGAAGGCTGTTCGAAAACCGAAACCACGCTCTTTAAAAAAAAAAAAAAAAATCTTTATTGAACACATCTGCTCACAATGGAACGCTACACAAGGAAGCGTCACTTCCTCTTCCACCCGAGGAAGCGTCACTTCCTCATGTAAGGAAGGCGAGAGGAATCAAGTGGCGCATTCAAGTGCGCTCAGTTTAGTCGAGAACCGATTTTCGGTCGTAATCCGAGGCATAAAAAACTCGAATTTTTTGGTCGAAAACCGATTTGGTCGAGAACAGAGACGTTCTAAAACCGAGGTTTGACTGTACAGTATGTCTTTTATTTATTACATATGAGTATATGTAATAAATAAAATATAGAATATATATAATTTGAAAGTTTGGTCCACATTTTAGCAAGCGTCATGGAAGCTGCTAGACAAAAACATCTTTGGTTTGCTTTCGCGGGCCACTTAAAATGATGTGGCAGGCCACATCGGGCCTTGAGTTTGACACCTGTGGTTTAGAGAGACATCAGCTCTTAATATCTGCAACTGAATTGCAATCAAGAGGCTTTTTTTACGCACTCTGAAAAAATCCAGCGAGTTATTTAAAAAAAAAAAAAAGAAAAACTCAGCTTTGAAAATGTCATTTTATAGCTAAGCGGTGCCTAACTTGATTGCGTAACTTATAACGACTACTTCTTAATTCTTACTACATTAGAACGCCATGTCATAGGAGACGCGCCGACTGAGCGAATGCAACGGCATTCAAATGAATAGCGATCCACTTTGTCGAGATTGTAATGCGGCGTCATGTGAGCAAGGCCTCCTCGGACTGCGCGTCCACACTTTGTTCTTGGCGCCTGCTACTCGCTGCTGTCTGCGCTGGTGTGTGGAGGCTTGCTTCACAGTCGGTGTGTCACCGAGCGAGCGGGTGGCAACACGGTGAAATCGCGTCCCGTCCACAGCCACTCACGCACACCCATGATAGTCAGACAGAAACACACACACTCGCACACTGTTTACACTAACACTCGTTTTGTGTGTGTAATAGTGTGTGTGTGGGTGTGGGTGTGCGCGCACATTTCTGCATTTGTGTGTGGTAATGTGCTTGTGTGCATTTTTTTGGTGTGTATTTGTGTTGGTTTTCGATTTATGGGAGTTTGTGTTTGCGTGTGTGTTTTTGTATTTGTGTTCTCCCGTGTGGGTTTTCACATGTTGGTGTTGATGTGTGTGCATTGCGTGCGTGCGTGTTTGCAGAGACGCCGCTGTCGCTGGCGGTTCAGTGCGAGCCGGGCGGCGGTGAGCCCATCCGGGTCTTGGTGGAGGGAGGCGCCCACATCGACTTCCGTGCCAAAGATGGCCTCACGCCACTCCACAAGGCCGTCCGAGGCCACCGCCATATTGCCCTCTTGGTACAAACAACACCACACCAAATTCCAGAAATTGTTTTGATTTTTCATTTCATCCTCATGAGAGCCTTTTTTTAAAATACCAAACTCGCCCACTTTGCCACCCACACACACACACAAACAACAATGTCACTTATTGTATTCCAGCAACTTTCATATCTGCTGTTATGCATCATTTATACCAAATGGCAAAGAAAAATCGCACTGGTAAACAGGAACTCTGAATCGGAGATGCCTTCATGTGTCTCCTAACATATTTTTGACGCAGATTTTTTTAAAATGTCTTTTTTTTTTTTTTTTTTAAGCACATCAGATTTTTGAGATTTTGGTTTTGAAGGTTGACCTATAAAAGCTTACGAAATACGGATTGTACTATGCGTGGTCATTTATAGCCGCCCCCCCAAAAAAAATTCCACCTGTTGCTGAACCTAGCTTTAAGTCATTGATATTACTAAATATATTACATAATATATTATTGTTACGATATTATTATGAAAACCTGCTAGACAAAAAACAAGGGCCGATTTGGAGTCGGTGAATCATTCCAAAAACATGCATGGCAGGCTGATTGAACACTCCAAATTGTCCGTAGGTGTGAGTGTGCGCGGATGGTTGTTCGTCTATGTGTGCCCTGCGGTTGGCTGGCAACCAGTTCAGGGTGTACCCCGCCTACTGCCCGAAGACGGCTGGGATAGGCTCCAGCACCACCCGCAACCCTTGTGAGGATAAGCGGATCGGAAAATGGATGGTTTTAATAAACATTGCAATTATATTACTTATTTAATTTATTAATTTCACGTTGACATGTTGGCACAGGTCCTGCTGTCTCTGGGCGCCTCCCCGGACTATAAGGACCGCCGGGGTCTCACGCCGCTGTACCACACCGTGCTGACAGGGGGTGACACCTCGTGCTGTGAAACGCTGCTCTACCACCACGCCAAGCTGGGCATCAGGGACGAGAACGGCTGGGACGAAACGCACCAGGTCTGCTCGTCTGCGTCTCATTTCATCTTGGTCTTCATCTTCTGTGTGTGTGTGTGTGTGTGTGTGTGTGTGTGTGTGTGTGTGTGTGTGTGTGTGTGTGTGTGTGTGTGTGTGTGTGTGTGTGTGTGTGCGAGTTCACCATGTCGCCATCCATCCGCCAGTCAAGTCAACACCTGGTGGGCGAAATTCAGGTAGTTTCATCGTCATCTTGGAATGAAAAAATGAAGCTGTTATCGTTGTACAAATGGTACTGCGTGTGCATGCGAAAGTGTGTAAATGCGTGCGTGTCTGTGTGTCTCTGTGCACGGATGTGTTGTTGCCCCTCAGGCGTGTCAGAACGGCAACTCTCAACACCTGGAGCACCTCCTCTTCTACGGGGCCGACTCCACCTCCCAGAATGCATCTGGAAACACTGCCTTGCACATATGTGCTTTATATAACAAGGTACGTTTTGCATCATATTTAGTCCATTTACTTTCGCCGAGTGTCCCGACCACAACAATTTGAAATGAATTAGGAAAGCTCTGCACGAATTCTGCTCTACCGAGGAGCCAACAAAGAGACAAAGAACAACAGCGGCCAAACACCCTTTCAGGTAATGATCGACGGCGTATGAGTCTTTTGTTGGTTTTAAAAACAGTATCAAGTCAAATAAATGATTGCGATGTCATTCACTCAGGTGGCCGTCATGTCGGGTCATTTCGAGCTGGGGGAGATCATCAAAAACCACCGGGATGCCGATGTAGGTCAGTATTTTGGTTGTTTCCTTGACATGTTACGCTGCTTGAAAAAATATATATATATTTTTCCATCAACGAAGAGAACCTCTTGAGTGGCAACCAATTCAGACGATTCTGACTGATCTTCCAAGGCTCACACATTACGTTTTAAGACTACATCAACACAGAAATAACCAAATCAAAGATCCCTCTTCCTTCATCACACATTTATTAATAATCAGCAGTAAAACAAAATTGGTTGGTTTCATCCTCAAACTCACCTGTTTTGAACAAAAGTGTGTGAAAAGATCTATTCTATGTGCATTAGTGACTTTGATCAGTTTTGCTCGAGTGATGCCGCCAACATCTGAATCGTCCTTTTCTTCAATAAAATAACAATGAAAATTGTGATTTTGGTGGCAAAATAATGCATTTGCAAAAGAAAATCACCACCGTCACAATTACACATTTGACGATCCTTAAAACTATTAGCACGCTATTTAGTAGTAGTAGTAGTAGTATTTAGTTGTGTGTGTGTGTGTGTGTGTGTGTGTGTGTGTGTGTGTGTGTGTGTGTGTGTGTGTGTGCGTGCCATGAACTTGTGTGGGTTGTACGTACTTACATTACATCATCGCTTCTAAAACTAAATAAAACTAATTTTCATCATCTCTTCTCTCTGTGATGCGTGAGGTCCTCCAAAGAGATACAATGCCGCCATCTGCTGGCCGTAGTGAATGCCTATTTTATTATTTTTTTTAACTTTCCCACCGTAATGCTCAAAACACAGTTGGCCATGACTTTTCTCCACCTATTCCCATTAAAAATAAATAAAATAAATAAATACAACACAATACAGGTAACAGCAATTACGTCGACGGTGTTCCTCGTTAGGAATCTCGTTGATGCCGCTGAAAGAGTTGAAAATGGAAAGCCAGATGAGGTTTTGCTACATAGAAACATTAAGGCCCTAACCCCTTAATGCCTAACGACCTGATCTTAACCCTAATTCTGATCTTAACCTCTCACTGTTCAACCCTCTAACCTGAGCCCTACCTCCTAACTGCCATAACCCCCTAACGCTCTAATCCTAACGTAACTTTAACTCCCTAATTTCTCAACACCCTAACCTCACTACCTTAACCCGAACCATCTAACCTTCTTTACCCTACTCCCTAAATGTAACTCTCCGGAAACCTAACCCACTAATCATTACCACCTAACGCTACCTGCCTTAACCCTTAATCCCCGAACCCTCACCCACCAGTTCCCTTTGTGGAGTCTCCAAAGTACGCCCCCCAAAGGCGCGAGAGCACGCACACCCTGACGTTGCCTCATCCACACCCGTTCCTGCGTGCCAACAGTGACAGCAGCATGAATTTACCCGACTGGATGGCCATGCCCAACTCGCTGAGCACCAACATCGTCTCTGTGCAGGTACCCCATCGGAAAAACCTTTTGGATTTTGGGACTTTTATACCTTTTGGTCCCTCCAAATTCTCGAATGGGCCTCAAATTCAAGATATTTAAAATGATTCATTGACATTTTCGATCGTTAGGGATTCAAACACACAGGAACCATACGCAGCTCCAGCAGCCCCCGAGGGGCCAGGACGCGATCCCCGTCCCGAGGCAGGATGGGGGACAAGGAGGACCGAAGCCGGCAGCAGAGTCGCAAACAAGGGTGAGGGGAGAAGGAGTTTTGATTTCATTTGAATTGCATCCTTGAAAGTCCAACCCATTTTCTTTGGAAATTGTACTTTTCCTCGATTCGAGGGGTGTCAAACTCATTTTTGTCGGGGCCACATTTTCGTTACCGTTTCCGTTGGAGCGCCGTTATGACTGAAACCGAATTAAAAGAATAAACAATGAGGGTTCATTCAACTATTGTTTAATTTACTCTAATGAGGGGTTTGGTTACAATAAAATGCTTGCAATATGTCTATTTATTATTTATTATATGAGAATTTTTTATTTTGGTAGAGATTTTAGCAAGCATCATGGAAGTTGACATGGCTGATTTGCTTTCGCGGGCCACATAAAATGATGTGGAGGGCCAGATCTGGCCCCCGGGCCTCGAGTTTGACACCAGTGCTCTATCAGATCCCCGAAGCTATAAAGCAAGAATGGTGTTAGCCCACTCTAGTTCTCAGTGTCTCATTTTGCATTGTGTGTGTTTGAAATGTCTTCACTCCCAGGCCCACTGCTGCCCCTGCTACCGCAAGCACAGCCAGCACGCAGACCGCTGGCCAGCGTCGACGCTTGTACAGCGCCGTGCCGGGACGCGTCTTTGTGGCCACGCGAGCACATTCAGCCCAGGGAGAGCGGGAAATCAGCTTCAGCAAGGGCGACAGGGTCAAAGGTGAGTACCGAGGAGCCGGCCGTCCACGCTCAGCCAACAGGTAGCGGCTTCATGTTGGTGTTAAAAAAACATTTAGAAAGTGAACATGCTAATTGTTTGTTGCCGCACTGTGTTGTTGAGCTCCAGGGACCATTTCAGCGAGTTGCAAGATTCAAATCTGAATGATCCTTCTTGGGTGGATGACATGCCAGTTTTGTGTGTGGTCGATAGTGTTGAGCGTGGGCGAAGGCGGCTACTGGGAGGGAACGGTCCGCGGTCGTACCGGCTGGTTCCCCTCTGACTGTGTGGAGGAAGTCTTGCTTCGAAGTCAAGAAGCCAGATCAGGTCAGTTTTATTTTCTATTTTTATTGTTTCGTTTGGGGGGGGGGAGAAACCTAACATTTTTTTATTCAGTTTGAATAACTTAATAACTGTCATTTTACACTGAAAGTCAAGAAGCCTGATCAGGTCAATCTTATTTATATAAAAAAAATACATTAAAACAAAAAAAGAGAGAGAGAGAGAGAGTAATTTAAAAAATCCGGCAAACCACGAGTATGCAATGATCGATCGTAAATGTAGTATTGGTATTAACAGAAATTATGTTCGATTGTATATGTATTTTTGGTATTAACGTAAATTATGATTCTGATTCCAGAGAGCCGCGGGGAGCGTGCTAAGCGTTTGTTCCGTCATTATACAGTGGGCTCCTACGACAGCTTCGACGCTCCCAGGTAAGAGAAAGTCTCCACGCCGCCGCCGACAGTTCCGCCGAAGCGCTTTGTCCTGCTAGTAGTCGAGCGTGCGTTCATGTGTTTGGGCACGCACCACATGCTGAGTCACTCTTGCTTCTGTTGTTGCTGTGACTCTGACTGCGAAATGTTTTCACTGTGGGGTGCGGGATGCCGTTTCCCTGAAGTAGGTACCAGCAGTTTGAGGGTTAGCGTCATGGCAGCTGTTCACTTCATTTTGGGTTGACTCGTACGTCTGCCAGTGCGCACTCATTTCTAAATAGAGTACTTCAATTGCTGCTTGATTGTACCCCTAAAATGATCCGTTAGCCGCTAACTGATGCTAAATTCCTGCTATGCTTGTGTTTTTTATTTTTTAGTCTGGTACTGACTCGGTGGCAGAAGTAAAAGGCTTGACTATCTCTCTTGGCTTCTTGTGGTTCTGTGGTTGCTACCTCGCAATATGATAGTATAGCAACTGTTAGCATGTTAGCAGTTCATGTTCGAATTGGTGCCTAAGATGCTTTCCGGCCTTTTGGATGACACCAGGGGTCACTTCTTGAGAAGTGCTACCAGTTAGATACACACTTTGAAAAAAATATTTTCAGATTGCCTTTAATAATATCAATATACATTATAATTATTATTAATGGTAGTTTTCCATCTAAAGGCACCGTTTCGCACAATAAATAGGGAGTAGATGAATATCAAGGTGCAACACTTTTTTTCTATAAATAACTGCCAGTGTTTACATTTTCTCATGATTACTTCTCCAAAATTTCTAGAATTTCCTAATGTCCTAAGTAAGCTATTTTTAAAAATGCGGTCATTTGGAGGGCATCACGTTGGTGACCCCTGGACTACACCAACTACTAGCATGTTAGCATTGCTGCCGAATTGTCATTGATAATCATATCTGACTCGAGGGGAAGGTTTCTTCATCAGCGTTAGTGCTCCCAGGTTGCTATTATGCTAGACGTTAGCGTCCCATCCTAGTATGTTCCCATTTTACTCATTCCCAATCAAAATAGTTCCCGACTACAGATCAAATCGGCTTGCCTGCGGTCTTGCTATATGTTAGCACACAAACTGCTACCATATTAACATTGAGAATTTTTTTTAGCAATGGAAAAATCTCAATTTATCCTCCGAATTGTTATTACATTTTTTAACATTATCTCCATCTGTTATTTCAATCTCGGATACTTTCTCTTCTCTGGCTAATTGTGCTTGTCTCTAGTGACGTATTTTATTGATTTTAAAATGCTTTTCGTCATGGTGGATAATTCAAGCGGCGGCGTTTAGTCGGCCACGGCACAAGGGTCAAATCCCCCTCCGACGCGCCTGTCATCCGTGACCGTCACAGCATCCCTCCATTGTTTTTTAATTTCGCCGAGAACCCCCCGATGCGCTTTTTAATTGTCCAGCCATCAGCCGCTCTCTTTCCCCTGTGGTGCCTCCATCTGGAGGCCACATGCTGCAGGCCAACAAAGGGGATACTTTTTTTTTTTCAATGCAAATGTACCAGAAAGTCCACTTTAAGCATCTTGACTCTAAAGTGTCCTCCACAATTTCAATAATTTATATTATAAATAGTCAGCAGTGATGTTCCTGCTATCACATTTTCAGCCAGTGGGGGGAAGCAGCTTTGCACCGGAAAGAAAGATGTTTATTTATTTATTTATTTTTGTACTCCAATAGCAGTACCGGTACTTCTCTCGACTACATGGAGACTACAACACTGCCCTGAAATACAAGTGACCAGATTTAGGAGTTTTAACCCTTGCATACACCCTGTAACCTGATAACATGATAAGATGTCCCCTGTAGTAACCGCTGTCCCTGAAAAGGTTGAATACAATCAGTTTTTTTTTTTTTGACTTGCAAAGATATAGTAAATAAAAATATAAAGCAAAAATAAATAAATATTTTTTTATTTTATTTTATTTTTTTTTTGGCCAAATGTTAGAATCTGCTTTGGCTTAAAAAGAAATCCATGTCGGACCCTATTAAATACGTTTCACAGTTAATATTTACCCCACGAGCTGCAAATGAGCAATTTGGACCGCATTGTTGTCGACCGTTCCCCGAGGGAAACTCTCCCCCGCCCGCCAAGCAAATGTCGTAAAGCGGCCCGAGTGGAGCGCTGATGACTTTTCGGGTGTCCTCATCTGACCTGCCGCTGGCCCTCCAATGATCTCATGCGGAGGAGATGAACAGACCGCATGTGTTCATGCGTTAAACAGCTCGCCCCTCATCGCCAACTCCGCCAAAGGTAATCAGTGGCGACGATGTTTGCCGACCTGCGCCGAGTGGGGAAAATTATGCATTCCTCGTGTTGTTGTTTTTTTCAAAAGGTGAACTTATGCTGCGTTGAGGAAAACTGGGAATTTGCAGCCTTCCATGAGGATCTTGAATCGCTTTACGCGGGCACTCACCGAACAGCCGGCGGCCATTAGGGTTCGGCTTGGTACAGCTCGAAGATGATCAGGACGGACAGCTTCGTGAGGGTGGGGCGAGGTGGGGAGGCAGCCATCTGGCAAGCCGGGCGCGCGTCCAATGTGCCCCGCAGACCGCTGGGCGGGTATCTTGCGAGTGCAGCGCTTTGGGAACTACTCTCACTAATCGGGCCTTACATGGTCGTTAAGGAAGTTAACTTGGCCAATTTTTGTCTTGAGTTACGAGCAAAAATGTTTCCTCAGTGGTAATGGCGGAAGGCGGGGGGGGCACATTGGAGTATCCGAACCGCATGTGTGATGATGTCCTATTTTAACCCTTTCAGGGACAGCGGTTACTACAAAATATATTTTGGGAGAATTGCTGCATCGCGATATTGTGTTGTGCAAAAGTATCAGAACGCCAGGCAATCAAACGACCAGTCCATTCATGACACAACAGGAACTAAAAAGATGGATTTGTTTGGTTTGTGCGTTGTGGTCTTCCAGGAGGAAAAAAAACCCAAAAAACATGGCTGGTTGCACAAAGCCCCGATATTGGATCCGTATCCCAATTTATCCCGAGTGCAGGATTCCTTCCAAATTAGCCTTCAAAGATTTTCGTTGCCGTGCTGAGAGGGGCAAAGAGACGCATGCAGATGGAGCTTTGATATGACTTCATAGTCTAATTGTCGTACCGCAGAGTCCTTGACGCTTGGATGGAAAGTGGCCAAACGCGCGCGCGCGCACACACACACACACACACACACACACACACACACACACACACACACACACACACAAGCGCGCAGGGACATGCACATTCATGCGAGAGGAGTAAAAATTTGATTTTTTTTTTTCAAGGAAAAATAAAGCATTATGAGGGAAAGGCCCAATCTTACCAGTCAATAATAATAAAAATAATTTATTTTTACACCACCAAAATGTAACGATAAACTTTATAAATCCTTAAATGGGGAAATAATATGGGGGTGACTTTTTTTTTCTTTGATAAATAAGGCACGGTATTACAAAATAGGGTATTATTCTTGTAAACAGCTGGGATAGGCTCCAGCACGCCCACGAGCCTCGTGAGGATCAAGCGTTTTAGATAATGCATGGATGAATGGATGTTGTTTCACAGCTAAACGTCATAAAATGATGAGATTCTTCCCCCTAAAATGTGTATTATATTTGGAAAAATAACAAATATCTTTCAAGGTGAATGCGTAGTAATCTTTTGAAAATAGTCTTTTAAAAATTTTGTAAAAAAAAAGTTCAGAGGCCGGGGATGAGCCTACACTTTTATGGAAATAAAGTAATCCATCCATGTTTTTTCCAATCCTCACAAGGGTCGCGGACGTACTCGAGCCTATCCCAGGCGTCTTTGGGCAGTAGGTGGGGCACACCCTGAACTGGTCGCCAGCCAATCGCAGAGCACACATAAACGAACAACAACCATTCAAACTCACAATCGCACCGAAGGACCATTTAGAGTGTTCCATTAACCTGCCATGTATGTTTTTGGAATGTGGGAGGAAACCGGAGTACCCGGAGAAAACCCAGCAAACTCCACACAGGAATCGAACTCTGCACCACTGCACTGTGAGGCGCCCGTGTTAAACAGTCGACACCATGCCGCTGGAAATAAACTCACGTTAAATTAAAAAAAAAAAAAAAAAGGTTTTTGTGAGAAAATGATCTTACAAGAAACGCTGACGTGTAATATTACAAAAATAAATTTGATAAAAGAAAAATATAAAATTATATTACTAAATGTTAATTATTTTCTGATTTTGTCTTCTTCCCAGAAAGTAGTATTATTTCAGAAAATAGTGGTACCTTTCGAGATGAAGTAAGTAGATTTGAGTTGTACCCTTTTGAAATTTATTCTTTTTGGGGGTCAAAGGTCATATTTTTACCAGAAAAAGTCAAATTAAAATTTTTAAGTCTTTTTAAACCCTTCCATGCTCCAATAATGAGAACCTGTAACCCGATAAGCTGTCCACTGTAGTAACCGCTGTCCCCTGAAAGGGTTAAACCCGTAATACAGTATTACAAAAATACTGTATTTATTTTTTTCAAGGAAAAAGACGTGTCTTTTACCACAAAAAACAAACTGATTTTATTGTCCCAGATGGTGGCTTGAAATGATAGCAAAATTGTCATACCGCAGAGTCCTTGACGCCTGACTGGAAGCTGGCCAAATACACACACACACACACACACACACACACACACACACTTCGATACACATTCATTCGAAAGGACTGCCGGCGGGAGCTGCGATGGTTTGCGAGTGCGAGAGATGAGGAGAATGAAAGCAGGGAGGCAGGAAGGAGGAAGGGAAGGATGGATGAAGGTGGTCGTGGGGGTGGGAGGGGGGGACAGTACGGAGTGGTTGCGCGCCGCGATGAGGGACCGCTCGCTAGCCGGCCACTCGGACTGAGATGATGATGATGATGATGTGAGTTTCTATCGCCTCTTCCTCTTCTTGCTGTCTGTCCCGTTCATGTTTTGTTTGTGGGGTGACGTGCACCCATGGAGACAAAATAGTTGGGGGGAGGGGGGTGACACACTACCATATTAATAGCATGACACAGCCATTGCGTGACAATCGATATATTAGTTGACAAAACAATACAGTGATGAAAAATGTGTGATACTATTGACATGGCTGCAACTCACGATCATTGTGATCTGTTGCTTTTTTTTGTCAATTAATCGATGCATCGGGTAAAAAGAGAAGTTTTCATTTCTGTCCCTTTATTCAAAAACTTGATGTCAAACTGACAGTACAGAAAATGCACAAACTTAAATTTGTTAAGTTTGATTCGGTTCCGGGTTTGGTCCGTAACGTGTCAGAAAATTGGCAAATATTGCGATCCATTTTCCGACGGTGAAGCAGATGTTTGTAAATGTCTTATTTTGAAAAAAAGACAAACGTAAATCAGACTGTTTTCATGGAGTGTATTCACTGTTAAGAATCTGACATTCTGACAATTTGGACTATTTTTAAATTTAGCACGGCCAGGAAACAATAAATTGATTATCAAAAATATTTTCAGATTAATTTGATAATAGTTGTCGATCATTTAATTATATAGTAAGTATAAAGTCGTATACTACTACCGTACTTAAAATTTGGGATGGGATATTTGAGTTGATTATATATTGTAAGATAACAAAACAGTACATCATAATATCAATATTTTGTCCTACTGCTGACTATATAGAGGTTGGAGAGTAACTTATGATACAATGTGATTGCAATATTTTCTTGTCAGTATCGATAGTGTTATTTCCTTGATGATATTGTCAGTCACTGATACCATATCACGATACAATTGATTTTATCCTCCTTGTTTTTGGCGAAGCGTGTCATCAGCAATCAGCCACACTTTTGACATTTGAAGCGCAATGAAAGTGTGATATCAGTCACAGTATCCATATGTATCTTGACTGTGTACACAAAGCCACGAGCCGATATCTCAAAATATCCATATTTTGTCCCACCCCTGAACATGTACAATCGCTAATAATCTCGGGAATAACCCGTGATACAATGGAATTGTGATATTTTCTGAGCCACATCAATTTTTTCTTTGCTGATATCATCATACCAAACATAACGATACAGTGACTTTTGTTGTCCCTGTTCCTGTTTTTGGTGACGTACGCAGTCATCAATCAACCCCATTGTTGACATTCAGTGTGTGTCTATTAAGCATGAAAGTGCGATATCGGCAACAATATCGATAATGCGGCCAGTAGGCTGACCTCACGGTCTTTGAGCCAACCGTGTCTCTACGTTTGCGCGTCGTATTACATCATCAAGACAGTCCCTTGATGACTGACAGCTGTCAAGCCGCTCGGACTGTACGGTGTGCGTTTTTTTTTTTTTGGGGGGGATTTTTTTTTTTTATGAATGGGACTTCATGACAGTGAAGTGATTTTGAATGCATGTGCGTGTGCGTGTGTTATCATGAAGGCCCCGCCCCTTTCCTTGCAGAAAGCCAGTCACCTGTCTCCAAAGCATCTCCCTCCTTCCTTACGCCACCTCCCTCCATCCCTGTCGCATCCAACGCAGCTCCCACTCGCCTGCTGTCTTTTTAAGCATGAAGGGGCTGGGGGAGTGCGGCCCTCTCCCACTCCCGTCCTCCTCCTCCTCTTCTTCCTCCTTTCCTCCTCCTCCTCGCCGTTTGCCTCTCGCCGCTGTTGAGAAGGAGAAGGAGAGGGAGGGGAGGAAATGGCGGCGGGGGCATGCGGCGAGGAGGATCTCTCCCGCTCCCTCTCCCTCTCCTCCTCCTGGCCGATGCTGGGCCCGCTGAATCGGAGCATCTGGTTCATTTACAGGTACCCGTCCAACCTTTTCAAAAAATTACACCCGCTTCCTCCACTCCATCGTTCCGTCGCCGTGGTAGCCGGTGGCGGGAGTCGTATGCCTTGGCGTCATGGCTGGCAGGATCGATTGGAGCGACTTGACAGATGTTGCGGCGCCTGGATTTGTTTTGATTGTATGTGTGTGCGCGTGTGCGTGCGTGTATGTGTGCGTGTGTGTATGGGAGGCACGTGTGCCAGCATTTGACTGAATGAACATGTGTGTAAGCAGCGTACACGCGCGCTCCGGCAGTGTCACGCCTCTGTGGATTGATGGCATATTGTGTGCGTCGATCGGTGCATGTGAGTCTCCGACTATGCAGTCAAAAGCATTCCGTTGCCGTTTCCTGTTTGTGCTGATTTCCGATGGGTTTTGCCCACGATCTCATTGATCACGTTTCCTACGATTGAATGTAAAAGTCACACATTAGCATCGTCAAATGTCCTGCGAGTGCAAAAATGACTTGGAACTATTGTTATAGAAGTCATACTTTTACATTCATTTCATTTACTCGGTATGACTGATAATTGCCACCCTGCACGATAGAAATTACCAGAGCTGCTGGAAATGAGCTACAAAGTCCAAAAAGTTGCCGTAAAGCTAATCTGACGTGAAAGTGAAAAAGAAACTAATACATGCCAAACAATCCATACCATGCAGGTCTACTTATTACCGATAACTGCTACCTAGAACAGGTGAAAAAAAACAGAACCCCAACTGTGTGTAATGTTTCTCATACTTGCTATGAATTAGAACCCACAAGAGAAATAACAAATGCAAAAAAAAAAAAAAAAAGGGTCCGAAAAGCCTCATGCTTGGCAATCTGACGCCATTCCCGGCCCCAGTACACACCCCAGCCCTCGCGCGGTTCTGAAGACGGGGACGCTTGGTTCTACATGGAGAAGACTTTTATCCTTGTTTCTTCTGCCCATGGTGTTGCATCGTCAAGCTCCAGTACAAATGAAAATCCACTGCTCCTGTTGTCGGAAAACCAGAGCCCAAAAAAACCCCCAAAAAAACCCACTTGCGCTTAGGTAGTCTATAGCATGCCCGACATATCCTGGCCACTTCCACAGTTGTAAACATCGGGCTGTAGCATGCTGCGCTTGCTTTTGCACAGAGATAAGTTGAATAATTGACGACGTTTCTGGACACGCCCCCGGACTCCAGTATGGTTGGAAGAAGCGGACTTGGGCACGGAACGCTTGCTCTTAGACGTGGATGAGACGTATCGATACAAACGTTGCAAGAGAGCCGAGGAAAACCGGCGCACTCGGCAATCCGTAGCATGCTCGGGGACACTAGACAACTTTGGGTTCAGTGTTCTGTGCCATGATGGTGCTCAAGCAGGCGTGCAAGTAAGCCTGGCTGGGGGATCGGATGGAATCGAAGAGCGAGGATAACCGAGCCAAAGCCTGCTAAGATACAGTCCCATCTGGGGTGCGTGTAGCTTTAAATATCAGAAGCTGTGTCCCGGCACGGAAAACAAAGAAAAACACTTGTACCCAAGTATTTGACCCCAAGTTTTTTTTTTTGTTTGTTTGTTTTTTGTTTTTTAGGGTATCACCCCCGGAAGAGGCATGATACCCCCAAAGCCGCAAGCATTTACTTGATTTTACGTCACTTCTCCTCCTGTTTGTTGATTGTCTGAGCTGAGCTTGCGGCACCGCAACACTGCTCTGATTCTTCTGTTGTGTGCGTGTGTGTGTGTGTGTGTGTGTGTGTGTGTGTGTGTGTGTGTGTGTGTGTGTATGAGAGAGAGAGGGAGAGAGAGAGAGAGAGAGAGAGAGAGAGAGAGAACAAGCGTCAAGAGTCTCGAAAAGGCTTGCAGAGCACAATGGGGGAATTAGTCTTAAACTGAACTACTCAGCTATTGGTGGCTGTACGGTAGCTTTATCCGCAGCTGTGTCACTTTTGTCGCTTTATTTTTATCTGTACAACTTTGGAAGAATTAAATAATGTTGTTGTTTTTTAACCTGTGCAACGTTTGGAAGATTTACGGTAATTTTATTCATCCCTGCACAGCTTTTGGAAGATTTGTGATAGTATTATTTGTATTAGTTTAAGATAAGATAAGAAAACCTTTATTAGTCTCGCAATGGAGAAATTCCCAACTTGTACAATTTATCGGGTACTTATGGTAGTTTTTTTTTTTTAACCTGTACAACCGTTCAGAGATTTACAGTTGTCTTGTGTTATTTCCCCCACAACTTTGGAGGATTTTTTTTTTTTTTTAAATAAATCCTGCGTGACTTTTGCGAATCCTATTTTAACCTGCATAACATTTCAGAGATTCAGAGTCTCACGTCAATCAGCACAACTGATGGAGGATTCTGGTTGTCTTATTTGAACCCGTGCAACTCTTGTAGGTGTCTTATTTTTAAATTGCTGTACTGCCGTTTTGACGGTTTTTACAGTAGCTCTGTATCACCTCAAGATGAGTTTAACCCATTTCCTTTGTTTCCGGATGTCGTATGTATTCAAAGTTATCGCTGGTGTTTATTAATAACTCCTGCTTTGAGGTGTTTATTATTATTATTTTTTTTTAATTCAGAGACCCGAATTAAAACCCATAGAGAATAAGCTTTGTGAAACTCAACCAGGCTGATAAAACAAAGCTAAGCCTTCAAAGATGTTGGACATCAATGCAAACATTTCTCTCCCTGGTTACTCGTGATTTAGTGGGTTTTTTTTTTTTTTGGTGTCACACACAATGTCTCATTTTATGCACGATGGGGTGTGCGTGCTCAAAGATGACAGTACGATCAAAGCGTCTCATCAGATGCTTTGACAACATTTTTCCCCCCCCCGCCTTTTTACCAGCTTACTGTTGTGCAGTGTGTAAGGTAGCGATACCGTTTGAAGTCTCGTTTTGGCCTTCTGTGTTCCCAACCAGCGACTACATCATCAAGGAGAAGACGGTGCTTCTGCAGAAGAAAGACAGCGAGGGCTTCGGATTTGTGCTGCGAGGTGCCAAAGGTGAGGAAGAAGAGCTCCGCACAACGGAAACAGCGAGGACCGTGTTCATTTCTCGCCATTTTGCAGCTCAGACCCCCATCGAGGAGTTCACCCCGACTCCCGCCTTCCCCGCCCTGCAGTACCTGGAGTCGGTGGACGAGGGCGGCGTGGCCTGGCGGGCCGGTCTCAGGATGGGCGACTTCCTCATCGAGGTAACCTGCACGTATTCGATTCAGATCAAAAAGTGAACATGAGACCAAATGTTCAGAGGTCCACCTTTTATTTCATGGCATTTACATCTAGAGTCCATTTAAAAATCTAGCAAATTTATGTGGGATTGCTGATAAAGTGATGACGCGACTCGTTAAAACAAAGATGATGTCACAAATAGTAGCAACGTGGTTCTGTGTTTAATTCGGCATGATGCAATGAAATCACATTAACTTATCTGATTGTCGGATGACTTCAAAACCTGCAAAAGTGCCTTTTAAAAATCGCATCCATCCCCCTTGTCTCAACAATAGGTTATGTGGAAGTCAGGGTTCTAACGAATGGCAATGCATGACCGCCTTCAGGGATATATACATGGGGAAAAAAAGCACAGCTTCTCAGTAAGCCACAGTAATAGTGATCGTTCCTTGCAGAGGATAAAGACTATATGACTGTGAGCATTGCTGTCTTATCTGTTTTCACTGTTTAAATATGTGAGTTGCATTAGGGGTTTTCTATGGCGTTTTGTATTATTTGTTAGCATAAAGCTAAACGGACTATCCGAAGGCAATATTCTTTGGTTCATGAAGCAACTTGAAAACCTGTTTAAAAAATTTTTAAAAAAATCGCAATGGCTTTCAAAAAAAATCCAAAGTCGGTAGCCGCACTGATAAGTGGCGAGCAGGAAAAAGAATCTAAACCTCTTCCAGGTCAACGGTCAGAACGTGGTGAAGGTGGGTCACCGCCAGGTGGTCAACATGATCCGGCAGGGCGGCAACAGTCTGATGGTCAAGGTTGTCATGGTGACCCGCAACCCAGACATGGAGGAGGGCGCCCGCAAGAAAAGTAAGGCATCAAGAACGGGTGAATTAGATGAAGCAATCCTCACGAGTGACCTCTTGTGGCCATCGTTGTGCTTGCGTTGCAGTCCCGCAGCAAAGCAAGAGGCTGAGCGCACCCGCCATCGCCCTGCGGTCCAAGTCCATGACGTCGGAGCTGGAGGAGATGGGTGAGTCAACGCTTTCAGATTTCTTTCAAGGGCGTACTTTTCAAGTAACGCTGCTTTTACTTTGTTACATTAACCCGTTCATGCACCAATAATGATAACATGATGAGCTGTCCACTGCAGTAACCGCAGTCCTTAAAAGGGTGAAGCCACATTCTGTCTTATTTAAGCCTTGAAGAAAAGAGGACTTCTGCTTATAGCAGCGCAGGAAAAGTGACAGTGATGATTGATCAATTTGAGTGAATCAAACTCAAAATGTGGATTATTTAAAAAGCAAGAATGTGTTGATTTCTTTCCATTTATTCATGAAATTTGCACAGGCCTGATTGGGTGGCCCGACACAGTCACGTATTGACATCGGGCCACCACGCCACTGTTCATGTTAGACCCTGTTACTTTTTTTTTTTTTTTTTTAATAATGATGTAATTTGTCATTGTCATAATTTGTGACATTATAGAGCAACAATGATGATATTTTTGTTTGCTTTTTCTGAAGCTTTTTTTCCCGACAAATATCCAAATATGATTTTATAAAATTTATGGCGGGCAAATTTACAATTGAGGAATGTTTTCCCTCCGGTCCTGTAGGTGGCAGTAATGCTTATTGCAAACCAGGTTCCAACCATTGAATTAATGCAGACTGATGATTTCTTCTGTGTTTTTGTCTCCTCGTGGTGCCACCGGAATGTTTCAACAGTGGAAAGAGGTGCAAGTTTTTATTTTATTAATTTGATCACGTTATTTTAATGTCCTTAATGTATAACGAATGCTTGTAAAAAAGTGTCTTGGGATAATTTGAGTTGTCACATGCAAGACAGTATTTGCACCCAAGTGCATGTCCCGCTCCGGGGAACGTTATTAGTATTCCGCATAACTATGCTGTCATGCTCCCGCCAAAGACGAGTGTCCTTTTTGTCCTCCTCGCAGCTGCCACCCCGTGGAAAAAAAAGTCAGGTAATCTCCCGCCCACTCTTTCGTTGTTTTCATCCCGATCGTGTGTGTGGTCACTCTTTCTCCTGCTTTCAGAACTGGAATCCTCCCAAGTGGCTGAGAAGAAGAGGACAGTCTATCAGATGGCTCTGAGTAAGACCACGTCGACGCCGGCATCGTCACCCCGTCTTCCGCGTCCCGTCTTTTTTCCCCGTTTATTCCATTTTGCGTGGCTGCCGTCCCCTTTTTTTCCTGTTTCATTGTCATGTGCGTTCCCTCCTCTTCCGTCCTTCCTTTCTTTCCCTCGCTCTTGCTCTCAGATAAACTAGATGAAATTCTTGCAGCGGCTCAGCAGACAATCAGCACGAACGAGGCGTCGGGGCCGCGGGCACAGGGCCCCAAACGGGACAGGGGACGGACTTTCTATAGCAACGAGGTGTGTGACTGTGCGTGGGTGTGTCCTATGTACAAAGTGGACATTCAAAACAAATACATTCTCAGTTTTTGTCGTTCCCTACGGTCGAGTTGCTCTCTATTCTTGTTTTTTTACTTTCATTTTATCCTCCCTGAATTCGGCTTTTCTGTCTTTTGCTGCAATCTTTTTTGGCTTCTTTACTTCCTATCCTCCTTCCCTCAGACTTCTCACTCCACTTTTTACTCATGCCTCCTTGCTGACTTCCTTCTTTCATTTCAAGCTTTTTTTTGTCTTTCTTCCTGACCTCCTTCCTTGCACTTAAAATGTTTTGCCTTCTTCCTGCGTCTTTCTCCAGCTTTCGTGGCCATCCTCTCTTCTTGACTTTGTTCCCTCGTCTCTGCTTCCTGCCTTTGTACCCCAATCCTTCCCTCCTTATTTCCTTTGCTGCCTGCTTCCGTCTGTCCTTCCTTCACCACCTCCTTCTTTCCTTCCTTCCATATCAGACCTGCGTTTCCCCCTTCCTTCTTCCCTTCTTTTTTCCTTCCTTCCTACCTTTTTTTTTTAGATTTTGTCCTAACTTTGTTCCCCATTCTCCTTCCCTCAGAGCCACTTCTTTTCTTCTTAATCTTCCTTCCTTTTTGCTTTCCCTCCACCTCAAACCTGCTTTCTCTTCTTTCCTTCCTGACCACTTTCCTGCTGTCCGACCTCCCTAACCTTCCCTCAAACCAAAGCTTTTCATTTTACATGCTTCCTTCTCTTAAAACTACTTTTCTGCCTTCCCATCTTCATTCCTTCCTTCTTTCCTTCTTTGCAACCAGTCAAATACTGCTTTAGAATCCACATTCTTTGTTCTCGACATCAATGATCAGTCATTCATCAAGGTACCTGTAAAAACACAAGTCATTTTAGAAACTTACTTGTGACCCAGTGTCTAGAAGCTAAATGCCAGTTTTTGTAAGAAATCAATGTCTGCTCTTTCAGCCAAACTACGCGGACCAGGCGGTGTCGGCGTCTGGCCTGGTTCTGGCCTACGAGCGGGCCCACTACGCCACGCCTCACGCAGCCCCGCACGGTATGCTGCGGCAAAAATCCATCGGTGAGGTGGTTTGTTTCTCCTACCCGTCCGTCTGTCCGCCCTTGAGTCCATCCGCCTGTCTGTCTGTCCTCTGGACCCGCTGGGGGAGGGTCTACTTGTGCTGGTCTCTGTGTGTCTGTGGCGCTTCCCTGTCTATGTGGAAGGCCACTGTTGTGTTTCTCTCATGTGCTTATGCTGTCAACATAGTAATTCTAATAATTATTGTGTACACTTGACTGTTGTCGTTGAGTCGCTGGGTGCAATTTATTCTTGTATACTTGTATGCATACATTGGTGTCATAGAATTAGTAACATTACAATTCACACCAGTGTTTTTAAGTAGTGGTTTTGACTGTTGAGGTGTAAAAACTGCTGTTGAAATCACAAAAACCCAGGCTTACCTTTAATAATGAACCATGTCGATCTGCATTGCAGGTGTGCCTCACGCGTCCTTTTTTTGCGGGGGGGTTGGGGGGGCAGGCATTCTTTTACACAAATGTAAAACAACTTGACCACAAAGACAAAAAAATAATTAAAATTAGTTGCCCATAGAACACTGTAGCTTGACTTGGAAGACTTGCGACTACGTTGAATGTACTGAAACTTACCGTGTATGCAGTATTTTTCTTCCCCAATAAAGCCTTCTCTTTCTTCGTGTCACAAAAAAGGCCAAAGAAAAAGTTTACTGCACTGAGTTAATCCTTTCACACTACCGTCACGATGTGCCAACATGATTTTTCTGAACTTTTTGAGTGAATTCCAAATTATCCGACAGAAGGAGCAACATTTTCCATGATGTTTTTTCCATTTCCACCAGTGAGCCCTGGAGGGGTCACAAGGTGTCACTCTTAGTCTTTTCTCATTTTACTCCACTCTTTACTGCTTCTATATTGTAACATGACAATGTACAGTAACACAAACTGACGTGTAAAGTAAGTAGCCCAAGACTTGAGGACAGACTTGGCGGTGGGTAGACGGGCAGGTAGATAAGACAAACATCCTCAGTTTTCCTGTGCCTGATGTAGCTGCTTTAGGAAGTCAAATTCAACTTCTCTGGTTTCTTCCTCCTTTGTGATTCCAGGGGTGCCCGAGGAAGAGAAGCAGTTCCTGCATCCTCCGGCTATGAAGTTTGCCCGCAGTCTATCAGTGCCTGGCCCGGATGACATCCCTCCACCCCCAACCACAGCGCCACCAGACCCTCCCTTTTCCTCTGCACCTCCCCTCGGTTGGCGAGCCAAGGCGTCCCAGCAGCCCCCCGTCTCTGTGTCACAGTCCTCGGTCGTTTCCTCATACTACCAGCCCTACTCCCAGGCGGTGCACTTAACCCAAGTGGGCCGGGAGAGGGCAGGCGGCTCAGCAGTGGACCATTCACCTTTCTATTCCCACGTGGGCGCCCACACTGTCCAAAGCAGGACAGCTGCGCGTAAGGTTGCCTATACCGGAGAGCCTATCGGTGGGGCTGGGGCCGTCAAAGCAGCTGGTCTTCGGAGGGGCTACAGCAGCACCGTACCCCCGTCCAGCATCGCGACCGTCATGCCGCAACAACAACAGACAGGTCAACCGCAACGGGTAGAGCGCAGCCTAACTGGAGCAGGGGGTCCTAAAGGTGTTGCCCGGAGAGGCAAGGGTCCCCTGGTGAAACAATCCAAGGTGGAGGACCTGCGAGCAGCCCATGGCACACAAGGGGGCAAAGTGGAGAAGAGCTCCATCCCCATCCCCACCATCATCGTCAAGGCCCCGTCCACCAGCAGCAGCGGCCGTAGCAGCCAGGGCAGTAGCGTGGAGGCCGATACCCCCGCCCCTGGGGAGGCGGAAGAATCCAAAACTCCCCATGGTCCTCCTCCTCGTACGCCTGCTCCTCAGCCCCCTGCACCTCCCTCCGTCCCCGCACCGCCTCCCCCGTCTCTGCCTTCCATGCGAGCCCAGGACGGGTTGGACTTCACCAGCCAGTTCGGGGCGGCCGTCGTGGGTGCGGCTCGCCGGGACCGCGAACGCTTTCACGAAGCCCGCAGGAAGAGTGCCTCCTTGTTCATGTCCGCAGATGAGGACATGGGTTTCGGTAGTGATGGTGTGGGAGGACTAACGCGGGCTCACCTGTCGCAGCAGCAACTCAACACGCAAGCTGAAAGTTCGAACTCCAAGCTTCGGCCTTCAAAATCCATCGACGAGGGCATGTTCTCCGGAGACACCTTCATCCACCACACCCGCAGCATGCCTCCAGCCTTTGGACTACCAGAGTACTCCTCACCCGCCCTGGACTATCAGCCCAAGTCTGTTCCTGCTGACCTGTACACCGCTGCAAGCAGACAGCCCACCGCCTCCTCGACTTTCATTCACCCCCTGACAGGAAAAGCTCTGGATCCCACGTCGCCCCTCGGGCTCGCCCTGGCAGCCAGAGAGCGTGCCCTACGGGATGACAGTCGGTTGAGAAGGGGCCCAGAGCGCCCCTTCATGCGCCAGATGTCCAGTGTTGTCTTCCCTTCGTCTACTATCACCTCGCAGCCAGTGTCGTCCTCTGCCCAGTCCTCCAGCTCCTACTTGGTTACTTCCTCTTCCCTGGCCGCCACCACTCCTTCCGTTGGACGGCCACCCTCACCGAGAATCCTCCGAGGGGGCGTGTGGGCTGAGGAGGGCGCAGGCGGCGGCGAAAGAGAACGCGAAGGAGGCGGCGCTCGCGAGGGACTCAGAGTTCGCTTCTCGGAGGACAAAACGGTCCACACGCACCCTTACCAATCCCAGCCGTATCAACCCGGCTTCAAGGAGCGAGAGCGGTCAGCGGACCGAGGGAGGGAGGCCTCTAGGGAACGAGAGCGGGAGAAAGAGCATGAGGGCTACGTGAAGAGAGCTGAACAGTCCGCTAATGAGCAGGCATCCCAGCAGCCTCGGCGGCCTTCGTTCCTCAGAATGGAGAGTCAAACCGACGCTTACATCTTGTCCCGCACCACAAACTCCACCCTACCAACCAGTTCTCAACAGACGACCAACGTTACTGGGAACACCGGGTCTGGCCTGATGGTTCTTCCACCGCCCGCCCCTTCGGTGGACGCGGACGATGAATTTGTCTACGCAGACCCCCTCCCACCGCCATTAGAGTTTGCCAACAGCTTCGACAGGGGATACTCACAACGCCGGCTTCTCCCCAACCTAACCCAACAGAAGATACTTCCTCCTCTGCCTCCCCCACCACCTCCACCACCGCCGCCTCCACCTCCGCCCCCGCCCGTTCAAAAAGAACTGTTTGGAAGCACGTTTCCCACCCACACGCCCCTACCTTCGCCCCAGGCGGGTGACTCCACCGCCTCCAGCCTCACGTCTTACGACAGCGAGGTAGCTAACCTGACTCAATCTGCTCACTCCCCCTCCCAGACTTCGCCCAACCCACCTCCTCCTCACTCACCTTCTATCTTGCAGCCCACGTCAACAAGCGGACCCCCACCTCCACCCTCAGTGTCGCCGCCCCCGCCTCCCGGCTCCTATCACAGGCCCTTGTCCGTGTCCCATCCACACCACCTGTACAATAGCACCCATGCTCCTGGGCGCTCCTCACCCACTCCCCCGCTCACTGTAACTCCACCCCCTGCCTACCGGGGCCCCGCAGCCCTTTCCTCCACGGCTGTCACCTCCGCCCCTGTGCGGGCCACAGGCTCATTTGCCATGACCACAAGCTGTGCCGCCACAACCACCGCTGCTGCCACCACAACAAGCACCTCCACACAGCTCTACCATGAGCGAACGCACACCACATACGCTGCCCCCATCCAGGGCACCCACCACAGGACAGGGGAGCGCCACCGTCCACCCCCCACGGCTAAGAAGGGAGAATCCCAGGAGACGGTGGTGGACTCGGGCATAGAAGAGCTGGACAGCCGCAGTAGTAGTGATCACCACTTAGACAGCATCCTGGCAAACGTTCGGGCTGATAGGTTGTACCGAGGGGAGAGGGGGGGCAACCGGTTAGCAGGGGGAGCAGTAGAATCGGCGGAACGTGGGGATTTTCTTGAGTCGTACGTGAGCTACACGGACGGGCAAACTTTCGAGATGCAGAATGCCACAGCAGCAGCATCAACCTACCCGAAAAGCAGCCGGTTCAGGGAGGGAAGTCGAGGGGGCGAGCTCCACAGACAGACAAGCACTGCCCCCGCGTCCTTCCACTCTCACAGGCGAAGGGATGACCATGAACAGGAAGAGGAGGGGGCAGAGGAGGGTGCCACGACGGAAGACGAAAGCGGCCAGGACGGATACGGGATGAGGGACATGCAAAATTTTGGACGTCCCAGCTCACCTTATTTTGAGCGCCCACGCACTCCTGAAATGAAGCCTCTTTGGGGTGAAGGACCATTGGGCGGTGACACCGGGGGGCAGTTTGGGGCACTTTTAGAAGGGAAGAAGATTTACCCTCCTGCTTCGAGTATGAAGCCAAACATGATCAATGACCTGAGCGGCAAACTGCAGCAAAGAACCAAGGACAACTGGAGCAGCCAGAGACCACTGAGCAGACACAGGTACACGGGCCTTTTTGTCGCTTCGTGACCTTTAGATCAGAGGTGGGGGACTCGATTCACATGACATGACGTCAAGTCAGACTAAGTCGCCAATTTTTAGGACTTTGAACTTTTGTTTGTATAAAATTATGGAAGACTCAGCTTTAACTGATTCACATGACTTGACTTCAAGTCAGTCTAAGGACAATTTTAGGACTTTGAACTTGTTTGTATAAAATTATGGAAGACTCAGCTTTAACTTCGTATTCACGAGGCTTGACTTGACTTGGACTTGCTCTCCCTGACAAATCTTTCCTGTTTACATTTGGAGAAATTGCATTTTGTTCCATTTTGTTTGTTTTTGAAAGAACAGTTAGTAGAGTACAGAGGCTGCCTCGTGGAACATGTATTATGGGGGAGAGAGTTCCAAAGATTGTTTTTGATAAAATTCTGGAAAAACTATAGCAACATGCAAGGTTTCCAACTCAAAGGTAAGACACAGAACAATGCGATTTAATTTCATCTGTCAATATAAAACCGACAAAGCTAGGTAAGCTACAGTATGTTAACTTCACACTTTGGTTCATTGATCGCTTGTCAATCATGAACTAAGTTTCATGTTGGTTCTCTGTTGAATTGTGAGGAAAAAGTAATAGAGTGGTTGAGATGGAGAAATATTCAAATCTGTGATTGCAAATGAGTTTAGCTAATTTATCCAAGTACCAATGTCAGTCCGGGTACATTTGTAAGTACAAAGCGCAAAGGGGCTCATGAGCAAATAGGTTGTGAGTGAGCAAAATTGGCTGACTTGACTTGCTAAACCCAAGTCAGTTTCTCGAAATTTAATGAGGACTCGACTCGACTTACTAGATTATTACTTGAAACTTGAAGGTTAAAACCTGATACTTCGGTTGACTTGCGCACCCTTATTCCCATTTTATCTTCTCATACATCGTCCAAACCTCTCGACGTGACTTTCTCTTTTTCTTCCTCAGATTCTCAGAAGATTCAGCCTCAGCTCTGAGTCCCCCGTCGGCTCGCTCCCCGTCACCGTCGCCAATCTCTTTATCGCAACCTTCCCTGTGCCCGTCCCCGACCCCCGCCTCCCAGTACCCCAACTGGGGGCGTTCGCCATCCCCTCAGCCTCCTGCCCCCTCACAGCCTCCCCGTTCACATTCCCCACTGTCCCCGACATCATATTCCCCATATCCGACTTCCCCCAAGCACAGACCTGTCTATCGGACCAAAGCACTCGAGTTCCAGTTCATCCCGAGTCGTGAGTCCCGCAAGGACCCTCACATGCTCCAGCGCAAACGGGCACCCAGTCCTCTCATCTCCCCGTCGGAGAGGCCCAAATTGGGCCCGCCCCGTCCCTCGTCACTCCCTCTGCTTCCCACTTCGCCCCTGTTCAGTGCCATGTACGATCTACGGGGCTCAATCACCCCACCCTCACCCGGTAACGCGCTTGGGGACCCCTACTTCTCACCCTCGCCACCCCTCTTTGCACCTTCCGGGGCCCCTCCTCCTCCAAACTCCACCTTGGTTGTTTCCCGCTCTCTTTCTCCCACTCACTTCCTGTCCGGGACGTCTTCACCACCCCTGCACCCGCTCCCCCCACCTACCTGTCTGAGCTACCCCCACCTGCCGCCACCATCCCCGAACAAGCCCTTCGCCTCCAAGCCGCTGCCCTACTGGACCAAGTTCGACGTGGCCGACTGGCTGGGCTACCTGAATCTGGCCGAGCACCGTGAGCGCTTCCTGGACAACGAGATTGATGGCACCCATCTGCCCTCGCTCACAAAGGACGACTACCTGGATTTGGGCGTCACCCGCGTAGGCCACCGGATGAACATAGAACGGGCCCTGAGGTCGGTGATTGACAGGTATGGCTACAGATTGACTGATGAGAGCGAGGTTGTCGCGTTAAACTGGCATGGATGGTAGAGTGGTCCGCTTTATTTAAGATTTAGATTCAGAAAGTGACTCTGAGTCAGACCTGCTGACCACTGAGAAACAATGCAACCAGAAATCCAACATTGACACCAAGTTTGAAATCGTCAGCTACAAAACTTAATTGTATATTTTAAGTCTATCCTGGCTCATCTTTGGGGAGTGAAGTATTCAATGAATTTTAGACGCACCATTTTGGAATGTGGGAGGAAAAGAGATTCAAACCCAGACGTTCTGGCATGCTTAGCACTATTTTAATCTTAGCGAGCAAATTTTAAGTCGTCAGCTAAACAAACCAACAAAGTCCAACTTGGTTTTTTTGGTGTCCTCCAGGCTCTCCAGCAGCCCCTTCCCCATGTCGGTGCTCTCACCTCGAGACGAGGGGAGGATGGATGACGGGAGTCGCAGTTGAAGTGGCGGTAGAGGAGGAATTCACTTGAATAGGTCGGTGCAAGAAGTCGGTGGATTGTCCCGAAAAGTCACGGAAGATGACGCGGTGTTTCAAATGGAATCGCCGGGATATGGTAGGACAAACAAAGGGCTCCCCGTATGTGACCCGTTCATCCCCAAATGCCGTTTGGCAGCGCCATGACATCACAATAGCAAAACTGACCAAAGGAATGGTCCGAAATCCAAAACAGGAGCCCGAGAAGGTTTTTGGTTGACACTGGAGAATATGTCCAGGCTTACCTCAGCGCTGTGATCGACATCCGACGTCACTTTTAATGACAAATGTACAGACTGGTCACTGTATCCTGTTGTAGCATAAACAAGTGCCCAGACCCACAACATCAAAAATGGTACACACACAATGGAAAGTCCTTTGAGCATTTGGTCCCTATCATACTAGTGCGATGAATTGTCCATGTACTAGTATATTTTGTCCTTGCTTTTAAGACAATTCAGCACACTAGAACAACTCTCCAACTTCTGATGTTTCTTTTTTTTTTACTGCTGTATGACATTTCTGTGCACTGGCAGAACAAGCATGTTACTCACCAGGCAAATCTGTGCACTAGTTGACAATTTTATGCTTCTAGTATTACTAATGAAGCACTAGGTGTTAACTAGTCGAATTTTATTATGTCTTACTAGTGACATACAATTGTAAAATAGTGGACAGTTTTGCCTCATGAGTAACATGCAGTTGTTCTACTAGTGCGCCCCAGTCAGTCTACCAGTGCAAGAAATGTCATACAATAGTGGAATGCACTAGAGGAAAAATCACTGCTAAGACAGTAATTCTACTAATTCAACCTAGTCATTGTAGTAGTGTACCCCACTTGTTCCATAAGTGTGCCCTTGTCTTTCTACTAACGTGCTGAATTGTATTGGTAGAGGCAGCAAATAGCATACTAGTATACTAGTACATACACCAATCAGGGCGCTAGTAGGATATCGAATAAAAGCCCAATTTACAGACAAAAATACACTTCCAAGGCACACTTAAACTTTATGGGATGCATGTAGGTCTTTTATTCATA